GCTTCCGGGTGTGGCACATAGGTTTATGTCAAAATTGAGATGCGGGGTGGCTCAGGGCAACATACTGGCTTCCTGAGGCGTTGGACTTTGAGCTGTGGTGGCACCAAGGAAGAATGGGTGGTTGCTTGGAAACTGTTAAAAGACAACCCTGTCACATACCTCGACAAGTCTTGGGGAGGAGGAGCTAGGAAGGCAACACTTCTCGTGTCTTGGGATTGTGTCCTGGGTTGACGTGTTCAAGGTTGTAGTTCTGCATACTCGAGGCTTGAGGCTTGTGACTGAGGCGGTTGTTCTGTTTCGTCTAAGCTTTGGGCCCAAAAGCCTCAGACCTGCCTGTCCAAGCGACGACTCACAGGGTTCAAGGCGGCGGTCTTGAGCTTAAAGATGCCTGCCGCCTCATCCGATGGGTCAGTTCAACAAAAACAGAATGTGTCGCAATAAAGACCGTGATTGTCCGGCAGTTGAACATTGGCAGTGATGAGTGTGACGTGTAAACAAGTCTTCCGGAAGCGGCCAGCACTGGCTACCCGATCAGATGGATCAGCAACAGGGAACAGTTCCGTTGCAGAGCCCCCACAGGTTCGACCACAAGCAGCTTGATTATAACATGGCCAGAGCGGGTTGGAATCATGATCAGAGGTTGCTGGAAAGTATGACGAACTGGAATCACCACCAAGGCTGCTGCACCGGCCGAAGACACCAAGGACCAGCGGGCTAAAGCAACTGTGGATGCTTGGAAGGAGTTTTCGTAATCATTTAAACCTAGATGACGAAAACTGGAACGATGTCTTCTTTCGTGCTATTGTACAGGTCACGTGCGTCAGCGGCAATGTAGCCATGGCAAGATTCGTTGTGAAAAGCCCGCTGCAGTGCACGTGAAGTGTAGGGAATACATTTAACAACAATCTGCTGGGGTTTCACGTCGTCTAGGCAACAGGTTCTTTGCAGCCGTTCGGTAGGCCGTATGACGGAACTGAGACTCCGACAACAAGAGAAGACTCAACAAGTGGAGTGGGAAGGACGTGGAAGAGAAACAAGCCTTCAAATAGTGCTGCAAAAACCGACGACATGACTTATGCGATCAACCGCTCTGAGAATGTTTCGATTGCGAGTTCTAGCCTCGCTAAGGTGAGTCCACTGGAACCAGTTTGACATAGACCAAGCTTTGAATTAGTCTCAGGTATGGCAGAGAGTTTTAGCGGAGCCCTGAGCGTGATTCGATTGCAAAGTGTCCTCAAGAAGCCCTCGCGAACCTCAAAAACCGTTGAAACCAGGTTTGGCTTAGACCGGACCTTGTCCTCAGGTGCGGCATCGAGCTAGTCAGTTAATCCCCTTCCAGAAAGCAGGCATTGCGCCTGTCCAGGGAGGGTAGAAATGCACGAGGCAGTGTTTCCGTGTAAAGGGACTTCCCCGAAAGTAAATTGGTGAACGGCCGAAGAGTTGTCGCGGTTCTCGAGTGGCATGTTTCAGGCCCTGGCTAAGATGTGAAACAGAGGGTAGGGTGCACAAAGCATGGAAGCATTGGAAACAAGTCCATCTATCTGTCTACATGCAAGCCTCCCGAGGCTGACGGCGCCATAATCACTCACGAGCAGCCCTTTGCGCGCGCGCGTACACAAGGCTCGTTTCAGGGATGCTGAGGGGCAGACATAGTTTCAGCAACATTCCTTTGCTCGTGTATGGGGGTTTTCCGAAGAAAGGGTGTTCAAGATGCCGCAGGGCAACTGCTTTGATGCACACATGAGGTCAAACACATTGCTTCGTTGAATCTGTGCATTGCGTTCGACAGTGAGGCATGCATCGCAGTTCGTATCATGAAACATGAAACATCTTGGCCTCGATCATCGCTTTGTGAGCCTTCTCCTTGAAGTCGGGAGTGATCCAACAAAAATTCTCTGTTCATGGCAGGAGCCGTTCCTGCAGGGGTGTTCCTCTCTTCACGAAATGAAACGAATCAAGGACCTTAAAACCTCGTGGCACAGGATGGGACTCTTTTTCCGGGGCTTAGGGAGCATGATAACAAGATGCAGTCTACTCACCTTGAAACCAAGGGCAGAAGAAGGCGGCTGAACGTACGAGGAGCAATATCCGGATGCCCGGGTATGTTTTACGTGGGACTGCAGGCGCGCGCGCAGTGCCGACACTCATGAGCTGCAGCGCCTCAGTGATGCTCGCAGCAAAGTGTCCGCCGAAGGCCGCGTGGGGAAGGCTGCCAGCCCTCGAAAGAGGATGTGGAGTCGCCTGAAGCAGCTTTTCGGTGACTTCTACGTAGTCAGAAGTGGCAAACCTGTTTCGCTTCAGTATATTGGAAAACATCAGGAGGACCTTCGTTTTGCTGATGTTGGATTCGACGCAATGCTTGGTCGTCGTGGCGCCGCTCGAACAGGCATCGTGCTTCAAGGATTCGAAAGACGACGGTCTGGATGTTTATCGGAGCATCTCGGGGCTGCGAGCGGGCACATGGAGCTCGGCTGGTCGGAGACATGCGAGAACGAATTTCCGCATTTGCAAACAGAAGACAGCCTCGGTGGATACTTCAGCTTGCCAGGGTACAGCATGTGCTGTGTGAGTCTTTAAGAAGGTGTGCAAGCTACAAGAAGTGGCTTGCGCAGGTTCGCCTAGACCGCAGTATGTGTGCTCATGTGTGCTTTTGAGGGGGGTATCCACAAGGCAGACTGAAGACACGTCGGTATCGTGACATGTCGTCACATGAGAGGGTGGCTATATGAGGTGCGGCAGTGTCGCCTTCTATATATATATTGTGCCTTCGGTGCGGTTGCGTTCAAGTTCTCTGGGACCATATTGTTCGGAGCTGTGAGAACGTGCCTGGGCCTCGACAGACGAGTAAGGTGTCCTGTGTCGCTAATGGCCGTCGTGTGATAGGACTCGTAAGACTGATGCCCAGCAGATTTTCTGCTGAATGGGGCGCACCAAACCTGTCCTGAGGCAAGACGGCAAAGAGCACAGGACCCTACCTCTCTTGAGAGGCCTAAGGACTGAGACGATGAGACTTGGCTACACTCTGACAGGAGGCTCGTTTTCATGTGCGTGGCTGAGGACCATAGATGAAGGCGTCATCTAGGGATCCGGATGCTGCGATTGCGCGGTCTTGGTGGATATGCTCTACACACATATTATATGTAGCACAACTCTCTGCCAGCAGGCCTTTACAGGCAGGTCAATCAGACTTCCAGCACGTGAAAATTTTCGCATGGGCTTGTAGGCATGGCTTTACAGGCTCAGGGCTTCATATGCCTTTTTGTTTGTTTTGGAAGCTTGGAGTAGGGTCGGGGTTCGGGATGAAGATCGGAGGAATTACGGGAAATTCCACTCAATGGGGCGGTTTCAATCGGACCCTCTTGTCTACAACGCCCGAATACAAGACATACTGAGAATAGGAGCTTTGGGTACAACCTGCCGTGAAGTGACACCATAAACCCCCTACTCCTTCCATGTATGAATCAATGCAGCGCATCTAAAAAGACCCAGGCTCGAATGGACACATCCGGAGATACTCGCCACAGGCGCGGCACCGGGGCCGACCGCGTCAGCGGACACAGCTTAGCTGTCGGCAACTTACCTCTAGCCTGCAGTTCCTCGGGATCAGGGCATCAGAATGCAAGGGTGTGTCAGTGTTGGAAACTTTGGGCCTTCAATCCTTGATTTCTGACAAGGTTTGATGGCTTCGCTGCTCAGGCCAGTGATGTCTGCTGCCGGCAGGTAAGAGAAAATCTTTTTGGACACCGGAGGGCCACTTGGGACGTGCAAGGCAACCAGCTCTTGGGGTGCACGGCTTGGAGTTCGGGGCTCGAGATTTCTCGGTGAGGGCTTTGGGTGTGCTCACGGCAGCTCAGTCTTCAAAACTCAAGAATAGTTACCATGAAAAACAAGACCCGCAACAAGGTAGATTCTGAAGGTTTAAGGCAGGGCTCGGAGGACCGAGGTCAGGATACGAGACTACGGCTGTGATCTGCACAGAAATGTAGGATTCGAAGGCGGGCCGCCTCAGGTCTTCTCGGATACACTAAAACTGGTTCTGGACAACAAGGTAAGCATCCTGTCTGGGGTCCATATTGAGGCTCCTACCTCATGCCCAGTGTTGCTGAAGCTCCCATGCCGAGTTGTTTCAAGCTTTAGAACTGCAGGGTTTAGTGCTTTGAGGCTTGTACTGATTGCACGACATGAATTTGCCATAGCAATGCTGTCTTGCCACAGAACAGCGCGACAGCTCAACATCATTTGCTGTATTAGAGAGACGTGACACGCAAAACTACAGACCTGCCTCAAGTGGCGCGATAACGACATTGAGCACCGCTGGCTGCTTCACTCTTCGATCACGGCTTGATCTTAAGTATCATCCAAACCGGAGACACTAAACCCTGAAATGTAGGTTTTACGAAGCCGTGTCGGCTTCAAGATCCGGGTAGCTGGGATGAATCAATCATCCCCCAAAGCCACCATGTAAAGCCGGCTAAAGCCTTCAGCTCGAAGAGCAGCGAGCAGCGCCCGAACAACATAAGAACTAGCTGCTGGCTGGCGGATTCCAATTGCCGGCTGAAGGACCTAAGCCCCACACCCATAACAAAACACCCAACCCCAAAAACTGCGGTGCAAAATTGCAGGGCTTTCGCTTTCCATCACGACAAACCGCTGCGCAACCGAAATTCTACTAGCTCCAGGCTTCGGGTGCAGGGTTTCAAGGCTAGGGCCTCGGTGCTTCAGGAACTTCGGATGTCTCAGGGTATATGAAGATCTGAAATATATAATTTAGATTGCTTCAAACAGACTGCTGTCCTACTACTGCAATTGCTGTTCTTGCATGTTGTTGCCAACCACCCCCCCAACGAGGGGCAAGCCGGCAAGCCTGAAACAACTCCAGTCAGCAGCTAATCCTGGAAACCTGTCGACGTTTGCCGAAGGGCTCTAGTCGCTACGACAGGGTGAGCGCTTCGCTACAAGAGGGCAAAACCCCCTCGCCTTGAGCACTAAACTTCCCCAAGCTAATATGTCTCAGTCTGATCTTCGGGTTCACCTGGGGTGGCTGGCCAGGATGATGACGAATTCCCCAAGCCCCAGACCACTACTAAACAACACTTGATGCTTCTCATGCGACTGCTGCTGTTTACGACAGCGGCTCAGCGTCGGATTCTGGTCTTGGGCTTGGGGAGTATCGGGCTGGTATGGCCTGGGCGTGGCAAGCGGCCAAGATACACCAGCTTGTATGGTGATGAAGCTGCTGACACTAGTAGCGGTGGCGCCATGACTTATCACCATGGTTCGTACCGACGTATGTGAACCCGCAGGCGACCCTTAGAAAAGGTCCAACCTCAAAAGTCCTTCGGAAAGCGGGAGCTTTGATCTGCACTGTGCGCTGTTGGAGTATGGAGCTTTCTATGCTGATTGATAAGCTATTGCATTTTCGACATCTCCACTCCCCTAACTCACATCCATGACGGCAGGGGCGACAAAAGATTTCATGACTCTAGTGATATCTCAAAACCACTCAGAAGGCATCACTTCGAAGCAACAATCATAAACGGAGTAGTGGCTCATGATGACAAGACGCCAATTGAAAACGAGGATGGTTACACAAACAATAATCTTTCCGCGGATCCGATGCTGACTGCCGTCTCAGCGGAACAAGGTCGTAGTCACAGGCATGAAAAGGCTGAAAAGGTCTCACGACATCACCATAGCTTGTCGCCATGGTCCAAACTCTCAATCCTAATCTCTAGATTCTAAACCCTGAAAGCTAATCCCATACCCTCAAGCCCTATTTACTAAGCCCCTCGATCATATACGCACCATGAGCAGACTAAATGCCAAACACCTGAGGCTTCTGCGACTTGCGTCAAGGCCTGTCTTTTCCTGCACTTGCTTCACGGCCATCAGCTTTAGGGGTTTTAGCTTTGTTGGGTGTGGTTCGCTGCCTGTTTCTCGATCCATGGGCATTTTCTTTCATCTGGCCTTGCTGGCTTCATGGCCCCGGCGGCTTCTCGGTATCATTCTTTTAACCATTGTGGAGTTCAGGAAGTCCTTGAACCCTGAAATATCCTTAGCCGATAATCCCACAGGACCCAAACCGCTCTGAACCCTGAGGCCCTTGCCCGCTCAAGCTTCCCACCTTCGCAACCCGAGAACGAACCCGTCTATAGGCCATCCGTGCCTTGCACTTCGGAATCTTTTTCATTTTCTTCTGCTCCGGTGCCTGCTTCACTTTTTGCAGGTTGGTGTGCTTCTGGGGTGGGCGTTGAGGCTGTTGGGGTAATACAGGTGCAGAGCTTGTGCTGTTTGCATCATGGAGTCGACTGGAGTAAGACCTACCCCAGCGAAGCAGCACCAACAATAAACATTGCAAACACAGCGCGGGATAATGCAATAAGCGACACAGACATAATCAAGCACAACACGTGTGTGCCAAACGAGGATGAACGGCATCACTTCACTGTCAAAGCGCAGCAGCTAGCATCAATGACGGCACAGGACAGAAAACGCCAGGCCATCATCCATCTAAAACATTCTGAGCCTGAAGCCCGACTCCAACTCCAAACCCCAACGTAACATCCTGCACCGCGAATTCTTAACCATCCTTAACCCTAAGCTCCTGACTCCTCAAGCTTGGGCCCACTGCCTAAACCCGACAAATCACCTTGGGCACTCTTTCAGGTCCAGATAAGGCGGCCAGCGACTCCCTTTTTTTGGCTTATGGTTAAGCAGTCTGGGATTTCAGGTTTCTAGGAACATATGTAGGGGGGTATGTTTTGGGGGTCATGGTCTTCGGCTTCAAGGATCAAAAGTTAGTGGGCGGCGAAATGCCCGTTACAGCCATGCTCGGCAATGAAGCTGTGCGGCAAAGCCGTGCTGCTGCGCCGAGAAATCATGCTCGGAGAAATGCTAGCGGCTACAGTAGCTAGACATCTCGGAAAACAAAATTCAAAACCAAGCAAAACAACGCCGAAAGTAGCAAAAGTAAATGGCAGTTGTGAAATCCTGAATCCTGAAAACCCGTGAACCCTTCACGCGAAACGGTGCCTGTGTACCGGATACGTGGCCCCGATCGCCCGGCACATGGCTGTGCCAGGGTAGGTCGCCTGTAGGACGAACCGTCTGAAAGCCAAGTTGTGAGCCACAAACTGTCCCAGCAGTGGTAGTAGCAGCAGTAGCAGTAGCAGTAGCGTAGCCGTAGCCGTAGCCGTAGCCGTAGCAGTAGCAGTAGCAGTAGCAGTAACAGTAGCAGTAGCAGTAGCAGTAGCAGTAGCAGTAGCAGTAGCAGTAGTAGAAGTAGTAGAAGGAGTAGAAGTAGTAGAAGTAG